CCCCCCCCCTCCCCGAGTGCACCAGGCCTGTACCATGAGAATGGAAAGGTCCGCAATGGGAACGTCAGACTCCCAGCTTAAGTCATGTGGCAGTGCCAGGCTGCACTGGAAGGCATGGGGGGGGGGGGGGGGGGGGGGGGGGGGGGGGGGGGGGGGGGGGGGGGGGTGCAGATTACTGACAGGTAAAAGGAGGCCTCTCTGATTTATGAGCACACCTCCAGCGCCATCGATTCCCACTCATGGGGTTCTGGGGGGGAGGGGGCACATAAGCTGTTTACCTTGCCCAAAAAAAGTGTTGTCTTTGAAAGACTTAAGGGTTATAGGATGTGGGGGGGGTAAGATGGGGGAGAAGGGAAGGGTTGTGGAATTATATTTATAGGGTTTGAGTTTGCTGATTTGGGTTATTGTATTAATCAAGGCAGAAATTTCTGCATTTATTTCACTGGCCCCCACATACATTTCTCAAAAAAGTAATCAGAATGTAGTAATTTTTTTTAAAAGCTCAAACATGAGGTTTAGGCATGTGCTCTCAGACTGGGAATCGTACTCTGTTTACTCCCAGCCCAGTAGAGTACAGCATGCCACAAATTATTTTTTTTCCAACCTTTTCTTCTGCTTCCCTCATTTAATCATGAATGAAATCCATGACTCGTAACGGCTCACTACATCTATCACCTCTTCCTTCTCATAAATGCATTCATAAGGCATTTAAAAGGCTGCTTCATCCCTTCTGTAGAAACCCTGGTAGGTTTTGTTTAATTGCTGCAGCCAATTAAAAAGAGGGCGGGGCTGCCCCTCAGATTGGCTCCCGCTCACATCTGATTGGGTATGACACATACACGGCCCCGCCTTTCATGGCATGATTGATGAGGGGCAGACTGTGGGAACAAGGCGAACGCCACCCAGAAAGGCCGTGTTGAACTGCGTGTCTCTCGCTCCAGGTGGCAGCTGGGAAGCAATGCTGTCACATCAGGGGGGGGTCCGCTGTGAGATTTCCCAGTAGGACAGCTCATGCATGAGCAGTGCACCCCCCTCCCCCCCCACCCACCTCATATGCTTTGACACCAGGTTTGATTAAGACGTTAAGACTGTGTTCAGGGGGAATGTGTCAATGCACATAGGTACCTTTAGAGTGTGGTGCAGTGTCTGGATAGGCTGGCTCTCATTAAGAGGAGCTGCGGGTGGATGTCAAGCCAGTGATTAATAGCCACCAAGGTTTTTTGGGGAGGGAGGGAAGGAGGAGAATTTTTAAAAGTAAATTACATGATGAACTTGTGTGTCTTTGTTGCCGTGAGAGTCCAGTGAAGTCCTGGGGCAGCGGGATAGAGATTCCAAGAGGGACGTTCAACTGCAAACTTTTAAAAAATGGTGGCGGTTCCGTAGTTTGGGACGTCCCTTCAGGTGGCTCCGCGAGTCCGACTCGATTAAGGGCAGCGGCTGTCGGACAGAGCAGAGTGCAGAAGCCATTTAAAGTTTTAAAGGGGTCCCATCGGCTCGCGTTAATAGCTGGAGGAGCCGGTGAAGGAAGCACCTCCTAGCATTTCTTCCTACAATACAGCCTAACTCAGGAAACGCTAATGAGCAGTTGGCTTGTTTAGATAGACGGTAATGTGTGGAACAGGTTAGGGAGTATTAGGTCACCTGGGCGCGTTTGGCCGCTGTAGGGTGAGGGAGAAGTCGGCAGTCCTGCTGGGTGACGGACTGAGGGACAGGAATGCGTGCCTCGCTCTCTGCTTCACATGCACCCTGTATTTGCCGAAGCAGTTGATCACTCTGCTTATACACATTTTAGTCACTGGTGAAATTTGCAGTTGCGGCCTTCGGAATGTCGTCTAAGTTAGTCTGTACGTCCCGCTGCTCCGTAAGGCTTCCGCTGGCGCGGGCTTTGTGCATACTGCCGTAACAGCGCCCGCTTCACTGCTCTTCAGGCTGTGTAAGTACTTCTCCGCTGTCCTCTTCAGCAGTCGCCAGGTAACAGCAGGTCATTGGAAATGTTACTGGAGCATATCAAAAATAAACCAAATTATTACAGCCAAAATTAGGCTGACACTGTGGTTCTGTGGCTGGGCTGTCCTTCCCGTGATTGGGCACAGTAAGGCCCTCGCTAGTTACAAGAGGAGCTGCTGAATTCCGTCTTCGCTGGCGGATGCCTGATTCTGGGTCCCTTGGGTTGGGTGGTGATGTCATTAGGACTGTTGGCCTCTCCTGCCTCCGATTTCTGTGCAGATTTTTTCCATCTCATTGTTCTCTATGAACATTTTGATGTCCAGCCTATGAACATCCCATCACCCAAAGTCACTGAGGTTCCAAAGGAGCATGGGACTCTTTAAAGGGACCCTGTGAAGGTGCTGGATCAGGAGCGGGGGGGGGGGGGGGGGGGTCAGTCTATCTCGCACCCTCTGTGTTCCTCCATACCCTACCCCAGATACCGCCGCATGATTCATTTTTATAGTCATCATTTCATTAATCATCATAATTCATTAGGGCCGTGCCGTCCTCAGTGGCAACACAAGTCTCCCTGGAGATCCCCCCCTCTTGTTTTTTGGGGGGTGGGGGAGCTGGCAAATGCAGGCGATCCCATGGGGCTTCAGGTGTTTAGGTTGGAAGGCGTGCAAGATGGCGGGGCAGTTGACGAAGAGTAATGGATTTACATTTAAGAAGGATTTTTTTATATATATATATTTTTTTTTTTCTGCAATGCCGCCAGTCAGTTAAAATTACTATCAAGGCCTTAGTCGACTTCCAGACCGGCAGTGTCCTTCAGCATAGGGGTGTAGGACCGGCCTGCTGAGTTCTGTGGCCATAGCAGTTCTTAAACCCCAGTGTCCCCTGTGACTATGAGGGGGAAGGGGGGGACATTTTAGAAGGAAGTTCACCTAATTCTTCCAAGCAGCAACTCCCAACACTACTGTCAGAAAGTTGGTACGTGTAGGTCTTCCACGGTCTGGTCAGTCTCTAGGCCTGTCATGATGGTTGTAGTGGAAATTCTTCTACGTTCTAATGTGGTTCTGCTGTCACTTGGTGAGCTGTGAAGGTAGAGCATTCCTACCTTCTGTGTTGTTCTGCGTGATCTGCCCCACTGAACATAGACGGTTTCCGCAGATACAGAACCAGACTCACTCTCATCACGTCGAGCTGGTAGCCACACTGCAAATGTGATGAACCATTACGTTGATAATAATGAGCTCTTTATAATAGATTGATGGTGGAAAAGCCATTTTCTGCCGAAAAATTCCTTAATGGAAGCCCCCCCCATCATTTTGACGTATTGTCTCTGTATGAATTTTTATTTCCCAAGATGCATGAGGGAAAAATAAATTAAATACCCACTTAAATGCCATAATGGATTGTGCCATTCCATAAAACAAGGAATGTGAAACTATCCATTTGGGATCGTCTTTTTTTTTTTAAATTTACATGGTTAGCTTTTACCTGGTTACTGGGGGTCTTGCCAATTATTTGCATAACTATACATTAACATGAATTAATTCAGAGGTAAGACATGGCTGTTGTATCTTGTGACCTGCTTCTGCCCCTGAGAGTGTGAACTGGATTGGATTTCAGTGGAACTAGAGTGAGGTGCATGGCTTTTTTTTAACCTGTGTGTACGGCAAGCCGCAGGGGACAATAAACATCGGAGACCTCAGAAAGCAGCATGATTTTCACAAAGGCAAGGAAATATAAGGGCTTTATAAAAACACAAATAATGTTTTTGGATCATCCAAGAGAACTTAAAAAAAAAAACATCTCGGGCAGTAATTCTCAAATTAACTCTGAATTCTCGGTTACTAATCTGCAACTACATAATGTGAATACATTTACATACTAATTAGTCTTCAATTAGGAATTTCGGAGTTCGCTTTCTTTAAATGAGACTTAAAATAGATTGAACATTAGCAGCACCAGAGGCTAATTTGTCATATTATTTTAAAGGTTTTTGAATAAAATTATTAGACAATTTCTGTGTAGGGAATTTCTGGTCATAATTAGTGTTTCATAATGATGTTTAATTATCATATTATGATAAAATGCTGGTGCTTTGTGTTTTTTGACCACGGATGTATCTAGGAGGCTGAACATAGACGGCTTTAGGTGCCCGTCTGCAGCCTTTGTTTACCATTGCTAATTTTAAGTATTCCATAAAACGTATGAACGGTAATTAACTGGTTTTATTGTGCCTTTTTTACCTTAAGGTAACGATGTTCCGAGTTAAGAGTAGCATTCTCCTTACGTATCGTTTGCTTTCATTTTGCTCATTCTTATTAGGCAGGAATATATCTAATCTATCAGGAAAAGTACTCGAGACGCAGATTTCTATATCCATAATCACGCTATTTTCGGTCTTACGGAAATGCAGCCAGCCGTCTTTGCATGGAGCTGGAGATCGCTCCTCCAGAACACTGACCTTGACGCTAGTATCTAGTTTCTCAATCGAGGCCGCGCCATTCGAACACGCCGGACTTAGTGTTTCCATTTCCGATTCTTTAATACTATGCTTTTATCCAAAGCAGCATACAGCTAAGAAGGTTGGCTTAGTCAGTCACTGGAGCATTTGGTGTTAAGGGCCCTGCTCAAGGACCCAAAGGTGAATTCATTCTGCAGCAGCAATGACCTTTGGCTTCCTAACCCACTGAGCCAGACACGGCCCCCAGTGTGTGGGCTCTTGGTCAACACTAATAAATAATGCAATATCTTAGCAGGCCAGCTAATGCTGCTCTTTAGAGCTAATCCAGATAAGTTAAGTAATGTATTCAGAGGTAATACAGAGTGGTCTCTCCTGGCACCGTGAACCAGTTTCAGTCTAGTTTTGAGTCCTACCCACTGCACTATATCGCTGCCATAAAGTTGATTCTGATCTTTATGCATTTTTTTTTTATTGCACTCAAAGCATAGCTTTCCTTCTGTTAGTCAGCTGTTGTCTTTCACAGTGAGCCAACGCTGCTGCCCACAGCGGCTGGTGGAGAATTAGCGTTAGCGCTGCTCTGGGTCAGTTCGCATGCCTTTGTGTGGGTTATGTATATATTAGAAATGCTCCCACAATGTGATAAAAACCTGTTATTTTAACATTGTTGGAACCATTTTTTCAGTCCCCACAAGGGGAAACTTAATTTTATAAAAATCTGTGACTGCAATCAAAAATCTAAAAATGCCCAAAGGAGGGACAAGCCCATCCACTCTTTTTCATTTCCAAACCGATTCCAGTGCACAGCTGCCATAACATAACACATACATAACGTACTGATCCAACTCATTTGTACATCTTGTTTTAAGTGTATTTGAGGCATCTTGCAGTTTAATTTGAACGTCTTCCAAGAGAATATATGCAAGTGGCGAAATGCTTAAAATGCCCCACATTTTTTCTCCTACTGGCAACAGTGACCATCCACTTTGCTGCCATCGCGGCCCCTCGAGTATCACAAGCTGCAGCGAGTGCACAAAGCCGCCCAGTCTAGCCGCTCCCAAATCATACATTGCTTTGTTCATATTACTTGTTGTCGCGCACAATTGCGTGCGCTTTGTTTAGTGGGATTTTCCACTAACCGCTACTTCCACCTCTCAAAACTTTCTTTTTACAAAGATGCAACGGATTGTACCTATAGATTTAACAAAAAAAAAATGAGCTGTCTTTTTACAGATTGCCGAAAACTAAACAAGTAGCAGATGTTGATCGGTCACATATGGCTGGTACCTGATCCATCTAATAGGTCTGGATCGGTGCCAGTACCGATTGGAATATCGGATTGGTGCATCTCTAGCATTCTGTTTGGCTCCTTATGGTTAAGGTTATCATCATTGGGATTAGGGTTATACTCATAGAAATGAATGGACGTGTGTGAATACAAATGTGTGTGTGTGTGTGTGTGTGTGTGTGTGTGCGCGCGCGCATGAGAAAAAGAGTTTGTCTACAGGAAGCCGACGAGGGGCTGCTCCTGCAGCCTGGTGCTGAAGTGCCCTCAGGCTTGGATAAATCCCTGAATGAGTCCTGCTGTTGTACCCTTCAGCATATAAAATATGCTTCTCTAATCAAAAGATCCAGTTTGCTGGACAGCATGGTGTTTTGGACAAAATTCAGAATAACAGCATAATCAAATGGTCCATATGTATGTTTGTCTGTCCCTGTCGGTCGTCCCCTATGTCTCGGGTTGGAGGTCTGCGTTGGGGACTGGTCCTTCCCGCCTCCATCTGCTTCCTCATCCCCCTCTTTCTGATCTTCTCTTTCAGTGCACTAACACCATCTCCCCTCTCGCCCTATAGGTCACGCCATCTTTAAGCTTACATATCTCAGCAACCATGATTACAAGCCGCTCTACTTTGAATCGGATGCCGCCACGGTCAACGAGATTGTGCTGAAGGTGAGATATCGGGGTCTTGGTTAGTTGTTATTAAGGAGCCATGGGTCCAAGTTTATATCTTCACTTGCGACCTTATATGCTGTGTATAGCTATCCTGTAATATTCGATCTCAGATACATAAATATGTTTGCTTTTTAATTGAGGGGTGACCAGTACGTTCCGTTTGATGTGAAGGAGTCTGGGCAGTTCCCTGTCTGCTTAGAGCTGCGTGGGCAAGCACTGACTGCCTCACTGCGGTACTGTCTGCCCATCTTCACTGCGCTGTTAGAGCGCTGGTATTTTTGGCGGTAGAGCCAGCAGGCCCCCACCCTGCAGGTGACTGGCCAGCGTGTGCCCCAATTACGATGACCGCGTTACACCCCCCGCACGCGCGTATACACATGCACGGTCCCCAACAGATCCGTTTGCGCTGGTGAAACTGCCCCCAGGGCAGTGTGCTCCTCCTGTGATGGACATGCCCCCTCCCCCACCAGCCTCCTTAACTGAACCGCGAGGCAGTGCAGTCACTGCGAGGGCAATCTGAGAAGAATGATCCGTTGAGAGTTCTCCGTGAAAGTAGGCCGTGATGGAAGCGTGTCCGTTCCACTGCGCTCCGAAGGTTGCATGCCGTCCTCAGACACACCAGCCCTGGGGAGCACAGGACAGTGCCGGGCTCTCGGGGCGTAGATGTGTTACTGTTGTAATGTACTGAGCAAATTTGGAGTCACACAAGTTGAGTTGAGTGACCTGTGTGAATGGTGTGTGTGAGTGTGTGCGCATATGCGTGTGCGCATTGTGTGTGTGAGCGATTTGTCAGTGCAGTAAGTACCGGTACAGAAATCATACCTGAATAGAGCAGCAGGGTGATTAATGGCCGCCGGGTCAGGAGGTCGTTTGTCACGGAGCTGACGTGCTTTTGCTCCTGTGGGCTGCTTATGTTGCGGAGCATGCGCGTCACCTGCCCCCCGTGCCCTGGCCGCCCCACCCTACCCCTGGCCGCCCCACCCTACCCCTGCCTTATCTTAAAGCCGGAATAGAGACCGACGGAGTCTGACTGATGCACTCATACAATGTGTCATGCCCCCCCCCCCAGGTGAACTACATCCTGGAGTCGCGGGCCAGTACGTCCCGCGCCGAATACTTTGCCCAGAAGCAGCGTAAGCTCAGCCGCCGCACCAGCTTCAGCTTCCAGAAGGACAAGAAGGCGGGCCAGTAGGGCAGCGGCGACAGCGCCCCCTGCTGGCCCAGGCGGACAGGCCACCCGGTGGACAGTGGACAAGGCCGGACGGACATGAGGGTCCTCTCTGGGTGACATTGCAGGGGTCACCACTCATTAACGCCCCCATTTTGGGATACCCCCCCCTCCCTCAACAAAAGATGGGCTCAACTCATGAGCCGTACCAGACAGTGGCTGGTTTCCTGTGTTTGTCTCCTGGCCAGTGTGTTCAGGTGGGCAGCAGGGCAGAGCGGAGCTGCACAGGGTTGTGGAATGAAGCCAAGGTTTTTTTTTTCTTTTCTTTTCCCTTCCTTTTTTAAACCTCGAATCTCCTGAACTGTGGTGAAAATAAACAGAGGTTACTGTATCCTTGTACAGAAGCCGTCTTGACAGTTCATGTGTCCACTGCCTATGAAAGCAGCTGTACAGACGCTGTACGGTCCAGACAAGAGCAGAAAGGTCAGACCAAGAACAGCCCATGTCCCCCCAACCCCCCCCCATTTCCACTGGGGTTCCTACGGTGACACCTGACGCGATCGACTCGGCGCCTCCTATGTAGCAGTCACATCTAAGGGTTAAACATCACACACAAACCTGCTTTGGCCATAGAACTTCAGTGCCTCGAAACTTTATTATTATACAACATTAACCGTGACAGCTTGACCAGTATTCTGGTCGCGATGATTTTTAAAGAAAGTGTCGAAAGAAGAGCTTAGGGGGAATATTCCACCTTAACAGTGTACGTGGGAAACTCTTTTAACATCCTGTGGGGAAGGAACCTGTTGTAGCGGAGGAGGATTTTTACAGCTGATTATATAAATACCTGTACTTTTTACTAGTATCTGTAAATGTGGTGTTTTTCTTTGTGCGAGTTGTATCTGACTGGAAGATGTGTCAGACGATTAAATGTTTATTTGAACTGTCCTTCTGTGGCAGGGAATGTATGATATTTTTACAGGTTTTTTGTTGTTAAAGCTATGGACTTATATAAAATCTACTCATTTCAAAGTTGCGATTGTTTTATTTGGTTCATGTATTTTTTCAGGTTTAGAGGCATCGATAATGTGATTCCTGCAAAAAAAAAAAGTTACAATTTCAGGGGTTTGTTCTTCAGATTCATTTTCCAACTCAGGTGCTTCTCTGCAATTCATGCTGAATGGTTATATATGTATATATATATTTTTAATGGTAAAGTGACATCGCTCAGTACAGTGGTTTCCTGAAGCTGGTTGATGGTCATGCATGGGGGATCTACACCAGTTTGAGGATGAAGTGCTGATTAAAGACATTTCAAGTGATCCTGGTTGACTTTATGGTTTGTGACATGGTCTGACCAGAACTCCCACGTGCTCCTCCGACTGAGGGGGGCGGGGCTAACATCCCGACCCCAGACCATCAGAGGAGGCTGATCATGATGCATCACTGTTTGCCGTGTGCTTCTGCACATGGATACAGACACGCCCCCTTCTCTCTCTGGTCCCGCGCCCAGATCTTTGGAGATGACTTCCCTAACTTGCCATGCCAACCTCCAAACCACCACCCGCACAGAGGTACAGTATTCCATTCCGTACGCTTTTTTTTTTTTTACAGTAAAATACCGTTATAACGGACTTCAAGGGACCTGGCAAAACAGTCCATTATATCCAACGTTCGTTACATGCAGAGTTGCTGTTTGCCCAGAACTACAGGACACCATTTACTCATGCCACACCTCAGCAGACACACTTGTGGTATAGATTATTATATTGTACATGTAGTAATTCAACTTTACCTGACCAGATGCGTGACAATAATCCCGACTACGTATCTGCGCTGGATATCACCGGCACGCCACACGCCTTGTAGGCGGAGCCTGCATGTCCGTTACAGCTGAACAAAACTACAGCTAAAAGCGGCCCTGGGGACCAAACTGTCTGTCCATTATAAGCGAAATTCCGTTATATGTGAGTTCACTATAACGGGATTTTACTGTAATTATTTTGGAATTAATTGGAATGCTAAGACGTGATTTTATAGGCTTTATTATATTGATTATGTAGCAATCTCAGCTCTGTTCTCCATATTATGGAAGTATCACGCAGAGCTTTACTTCAGAAAAGATTTCAGTTTTTATTCTCTGCTTTCTCGTCTTGCTTTTACTCACAGCACTGACTACAGGGTTCCATTTTTTATATACGTATATACAAGACTCATTCTCCCGCTAACTCAATAAGTCAGACTTTCCCTTAATCCTGCTTCGTGGAATACCCCCCAGGGTTCAAGTCTACCCCGGCTCTGTGTGTGGAGTTTGCATGTTCTTCCCATGACGTCATGGGGTTTCCTCCAGGTTCACAGTGCAAAAACATGCTGAGGTGAACTGGAGTTACCAAGTTGTCCATAGGTGTGTGCAGGTGTGCCCTGCGATGGGCTGGCGCTCTGTCCTGACGTACCTCCTGCCTTGTGCTCCGGATCCCTGCGACCCTGCATAAGTGGGTACAGAAAATGGATGGACTGTTGAGACCCTGAAACAATCATATGGTTTTGGGGCTCTTTAAGGGAAAGCTGGGTCATCTGTGATGGGGGTTAGTCAGTGTTGGTGCTGCATGCGTCTGGACGGCACTCCCAGCCAGGTCTGCCCGTCCGTCTGAAGCAGCCGAGCTGAACAGGGGCCCAGGGAGTGCGGAGTCCAGTCCGAATCTTTTAAAAATGGAAATATTTAGGGAGAATGAGATGTGCTAAAATGTTTTTTTGATTTTCATTCTGGAAACTGACAAAGGGGCCTTCATCCACTAAAGCAACAGCTTTTAGAAGATCCTAGGATATCTGCAGTGGATACCCCAGGTGCGGCGTTTGTACGTCTGGCAGTGGCCAGGGCATAGACACACACACACACACCCAGTACCTCCTGATCGACCTCCTCGCCGGGCACCTGACTCGTCTGTCCCTGAGCACTGTGGCCAAGGTCGTGAGCCTCACCGTGGGCTGGTGGAGGCCAGCTGCTAGCTTGGCCGCGACGGAGAGCGATGTTTACAGAATCGCGCCCCCCCCCCCTCCCCGAGCCTTCAGCTGCCAGCCCTCGCCGTGGGAGTCGTCTCCCCGGGGATGCTCTCGCTACAGTGAACCAGTCCTTTCTATACACTGGCGCCACCTAACTTGTGGAGCTATGCTCCGCTTCCCCAGCCTTGGGCCTAGGGGGCGCTAGTGAGAGACCCAATCCTTTCCTTTGTGGCCCGTTGCTTGAGTCTCTGGCGTCTCCACAGAGTAAGGCTGTAGATGCTGACTTGGGCTCATATGTGAACAGAGAGCTCTGGAGGTTCTACCTCACAAAGGATGGAGTGAAGGCTAACTGTCTGGCTGAGGGTCTCCTTCCAGTTCCTGCGGCGTGCCTGACCCCCCTGGGGTGACTCTGGCAGTGGGAGTTCCCCAGCCTCCTCCCCTTGTCCCCCCCGACCCCCCCTAT